TGGAAATAAGCCAATGGTGAGTAAGTACCCAGCTCCGCTGATGGCCGGCAGGAAGTGTATTCAGGAACGTGAACTCCCACCCCCACCCAGGGTTCATCTCACCCCCATAGATGGGTCCGTGGGACCGCAGACTTAGGGGAGTTTTGCCATCACCCACAGTTTGCTCCCCTACATGTAACACAGCACGTGCATTTTCTATTCCCTGATAATTTCTCTCATGCAGGCCCGGGGAGTGGGGGTGGGGAGAGGACAGTGGTACTGATGCAGGCATGTCTCTGAGGGAAGCCCGCAGATTCCCAACCAGGAAACTGATCAGTCATTTGGGCAAGTTATGCAGGGAAGAGAGGAAAGCAGAAAGGCTGGTCCACAGAGCCCCCTCCGGGCCCCCCATTTGGCCCCAGGGCCCAGCCTGCCCAGCAGGCACATGCCTGCAGACCACACCAGGAAGCACCAGCCTGGCAGCTTGTCTCATGCCTAGAAGCGGAGCACAAGCAGTTCTCTCCAACCCCCTGCAGGCTTTATTTACTGGAAAGCTGGCCCACAGGGGGAGGCATAGAGGGGGCAGAGGAGGTAGAGGACAGAGGGGCCACAACTGTGGTCTGGTCCGCAAAATGCCTGGCAGGGCTCCAGGGCTGCCAGGGAGTCAGTGAGAGCTCTCGGGCAAACTGCTGTGCAGCTGTGCCCTCATTTCTGGGGCCCTAGGGAGCTCGGGACAGGCCCTGTGCCCTCACAGCAACATGGGAGCTGCGGCCACCATCTCCTGGGAATCTGGGGATAGGAGGAACATTAGTCACCTCTCCTGACCATACTGTAGGAACCTCAGGCCAATTACTAAAAAGACTGATTACAAACAATTCCAGATATCCCCATTGACCAGGAGGGAAAATGAAGGCTCAGAGAGGTCACACAGAGAGTTGGGGGCAGAGCTGGGCTGAAATCTAGGTCTCTGGACCCCCAGGCTGCTAGTCTTCCTCCCATACCACCAAACGAGGAGACCAAACGCGCTGGGGAGAAGGGTGGGCTGTGGGGTACGCAGTGAGGGTGGGACATTAAAAAGGCAGCATCTCTGATTACGAGGGTGGAGGTGGCTCTGTGTGGCTGCTTCCCCCTCCTTCCTCCCGCCACCTGGCAGGGGTTCCTGTGCTGACTTGCCTCCCCCTCCTCCCACCCTGGCCTGGCAGAGGAATAGGAGAGAGGGAGAGGGGTAACTCAACCCCTCTGTAGATGGTGACAGGGTCCTGAGGTGAGGGGCTGCTCAGTCAGAAGAAGGGGGTGTCTCTGTAGAGCTGGCACTTCTGGGGCTGGGCTGCGGTTCACACCTCCTAATTAGTCACCTTGTTAGACAAGGACCACAGCCTGTACCAGGAAGCCTTTGTGACAATGAGTCAGACCTGCAGGAAGGCAGGGAGCAAGCGCACGGATGGACATGTAGGGAAGAGCAGGCCAGGCGGAGGGGACAGGCTGCGAGGCGGGAGCCAGCTTGATGTGGGAGAGAAACCGCTCGGAGGCCGTGTGGCTGGGGCGAGTGGGCAAGGGGCCTAGAGACGAGGTGAGGTCNCCAGTGCAAAGCCAGCGAGGAAACAGGACCCTTTCCTGCCTCAAGTCCAGGCAGAGGCTTGCCACCCTCCTGGCAACTGTGGGCTCTCTAATGGCTGTGTTTAACCCCTGGCCCCACCAAATGATGCAGCTGTAAGCTGAGGGAGGGAAGAAGGGAGGGGCAGGTTTACCTATTAGCTGTGACATCAATCATTACCTGCTCACCCTCATACCAGAATCTCCCTGAGTCATCAAAGCTTGGGGCTGGCCCCGGGCAGGGGAGCAGAAGTTTCCTCTGGACATTTGAGGAGCAGGCTCATTTCCCCCTGGGGGAGGCAGATCAGAGAATGAGGCAGGTAGAGTAGCTGGGATGTTAAGTAGGAAAGCCACACCCAGCCCCTAGGCTGCCAGCCCTCCCACCAGTGAGGAGAAAGCAGTTCTAGGGGAAGGATAATATAGCACAGGGGTGAGTGTCCTAGGGGCCCATGGTCTGGGGAGCTGGGCAGCCAGTAAGTGAGGTGGTAAGAAGGTCCTCCTTCTGGTGGCTGCTGAGTATGCAGGGCTTGCTAGAGCTCTGGAGCCAGACGGCCTGGAACCGTCCCGTCCCCCTACTGCATTATCTTCTTCCCAGGCAGGAAGGTCCATGGGTGGGGGCTGCAGCGGCAGAAACTTCAGATGCTTTCTGAGCTTTCTGGGCAGTTGGGTGAGAGCCCAGAGCCCAAGGGCAGCCCTAGAGAGACAGGCTGCTTAGGCCCTGGGAGGAGCTGCAGGGCAGGGCAGGAGCCACAGGAAGGCAGGCAAGATGGCTAGAGCACAGGATTTAAGGAGCTGTGGTGGCAGGGGTGCTGGCATAGTCCTGAGAGCCGGTGCCATCTTAAGTTTGCTCCCTAAGTGCCCTGCTGGCCTCTCCCAGCCCTGCTGTGTGGCCCTGAACTGGGCTATGAATGGTTCCTGCAGGCACTGGGGCAGCACTGGTCTCCCCACCCCCATCCTGCCACCCTAGCCCCAACCTGCTGCCGCAGCCTTCCAGTTAAAGAAGAAGGGGGAGGCACTCTAGGGATACTGGAGAGGGATCCACTGAGACCCTCTTTGTGCATCTTAGGTAGAGCCAGGGGCACCAACCTTGGCAGGCCTGGAAGGGGAGTAAAATGGAAATGTCTCTCGGCTTCCATCTGCAACCATCTGGNCCCCTGCACCCCTCATTTCTGCATTGGAGGAAGGCAAGCTTAGGTTGTCAGCTCTCCCAAATTTATAAGAGAAGCCAGAAATCCAGAGAGTTGTGTAAAATTGGCCAGTTTTTACAGGTAGACCAATCGCCTCTGCTCAGGTAGGATCTCTGGGCCTCTCTTCATCGCCTCACCCTCCTGAACCCTCAGTCCACTCAGACTCAACCTCCACCTCCAGCTTCGCTGACTGCCCTCTTCTCCCAAGGGCCAGTGACTTCCCCATGCTGCACATCCTCTATATGTGTCAGAGAGGTACCCTTTCTTTTCTTTTGGGGGGTATCTGAATCCTTCTCCCAGCCCAAGAGCTGCTTCTAGGGCGGCACAGAGGAGCTGCACAGTGTACATCTGGGTCCAGCAGCCGGGGCCGGGGCTGGCCTAGCAGAGCTGGAGCAGAGGGGCTGCCTGTCTCCATGGGACTTTCCAAGGGCCTGTCACCCCTTCCTTCATTCACAAACACTTGCTGGGTCCCGCTGTAGCCAGGCTGGGAGCTAGGAACAGTTCCAGCAGTGTCAAGGCTGGTCCCTGTCCTCAAGGAGCTCACAGCCTGGCTGGGGGTGGGGGTGTTAGTGAGTAAACAGATAAACCCCCCTCACTCATCCTTTGCCCACAATCTCCCAAGGTGGACAGTGGTTAGCAGGGTCCAGGCCCCTGCACTTGGGTAGCAGGACCCCTCAGGAAGCTGGCCTTTGGTGAAGGAGGCAGGAGGCAGGGCTGTGTGTCTAATATACCCCAGACCTCAGAACTTGAACTGACATCATGCAAGTTAGGCCAGGAACCAGAATCAGAGTGATTCATGTGATTCTTGCGAGGTTAGGAAGTTCACCTGCATGTCTGCCCACACTCCTCCTGCTCCGAGGCTGCATCCATGAGGAAGGGGATACTCAGAAGAGCGGGTAGTCAGAGCGACCCATTGAGAAGGATCCCAAGACATGGCGAGATCTTCCAGGGCGGTCTCACCCAGGCCTGTACCTTGCCAAGGAGACTGCCATTCCATCCCCTAGAGCCATCGTGTTGACTGACAGCGGGCTCTTCCCCCTCTGCTTCAGAAGTTGGCTCCCAAGGCCCCTCGCCTGGCTAGGCCCTGGGGCGGACCACTCCTGGACACTTGAAAGGCTGGCTGGCAGATGGTGCAGGCGTGGGCCCTTCTTAGCCCTGTACCATCTCTGCTTCAACAGAGAAAGATTTCCCTGAACAAGGGAATCCCCCCAGGAGAAAAGAGGGTGTGACAGTGCCCCTCAGACCAGGGCTGGAGCCTGAGTTTGCACTGTGGGCTGTGGTATTCCTTTGGGTCAGAAGGAAAGACTACCCCTGCTGTCCCTCCAGGACCTGCCATGCAGAGTGTGTGTTNCCCACTAACTCCCTCACTGCCTCTAGAGACAGCCTGGGCCTGCCCTTGGCCTCTGGAAGCTTCCACCCACTCTGCATCTCCACTCCAGTTCTGCTTTCCAGCCTGTCCTCCCTGCTCCATCCATGCATGTTCTCCCAACCCTTTAAGGCCTCCTCTCCTTTTCCCAGCTGCCTTCCCTGACTGCCCCAGCAATAGCTTCTGTCTCCTCTCAGCAGCTCTCATCACCATGTCCGTTGGGCCATGAATCCACAAATTATTGAGTTGTTGAGCCCCTGCATGTGAGTCTGCTTGGGCCAACCAGTCTAGGAGGCCCCATGTGTGGGCAGGCACCTCTCTCTCCTCCTTCTTGGCCTGCAGGGCTCTCTTGGTAGAACATGGGTGAGGCATCTGGAACAGACACATTCATTTATCTCCATTAATGCACTGGTGACTCCCTGGATAAGCTTTGTAAACTGTAAAGTGGTGTGCACAGGGGAACTGGGGTGAGGTTACAGGAGAGACAAAAGAAAGGCAATCACCAGATCCTCAAAAGCAGGCGAGATTTTGGAATTACAGGCAAAGGTACCTGCAAAAGTAAAGGCTTAGAGATGGGACTGGACTTGAAAGGTGAACTGGCCTATCTCATTCTGCAGAAAGTGATGGATCCAGGACGAGGGGAGAGGCAAGAGGGAGACTGGGAGAGATGTGGAGTGTGGGAGAGAGGTAGGGAGAAAATGGGGCCAACGGTGACTGCACCTTTGGACCTGTAGTTCCAGACTGGGTTGGGGCATGGCAGAGGGAACCACTTGGAGGGGAACTCTGAGAGGATTAGAGTTATACGAGGCAGTAAGGGGAGGTGACCACACCAGAAGAGGCCAATTAGCCCCTGCTCTCTCCACAGGCCGCTGAAGGCCCAGAGGACCCCCCGGACACCTCCCAGAATGCAGAATCTGTCATCAGCCACCTGTCTCCCTCTAATAAGGAGACCATCACTGTCACTCTCCATGGGGCCACCAATCTCCCTGTCCGCAAGGATGGCTCTGAGCCGTGGCCCTATGTGGTAGTGTAAGTAGCTGGCTGAGCTGGGGCAGGGGCTGGAGTCAGCTGGAGCAGAAACCAAAGTATGGCTATTTGGAATATGAGCAACCGAAGGTTCGGGGCTGGGACTATGATACCCAGGGGGGAAACCAAGTGTGAATCACACAGGGACTGAGGGATCTGCAAATGTGAGGCCCAGCACCCTCTTGCTGTGTGGAAGCTGCTCACCAGGGCTGGGGAAGGAAGGAAAAGCCCTTGAATCCACAGCCCGCCAGGCAGGATTTGGCCACAGCCTGGCCTCAGGGGGCAGGGGGCCTGGATACAGACGCTTCATCTGGGGGTTGTCAGAGGAAGAAGACCTGCTTCTCCTGGCCTCTGGGTGCCTCATCCCACCATGTTCCATCCTGGGGTACGGTGCTCTTTGGCCCCTACCACTGCTCCAGTCATCTCTATCATGGGGGCTTCCCTAGTGCTGGTCCTTTAATGTACCCCATGTCCCTCCTCCAGCTAGCTGCAATCAGGGTACACACTTCACAGCCTGGTATCTGAGTGGGGCCTGCCATGCCATGTCTGCTGACCACCTCATGGACCTCACTTCTCCCAGAAAGACATCAAAGGGCAACAGTCTCCATCTGGTCAACCTTCCATGTGGGTGCTGGACACCTGCTCAATCTTGATTTTAAAGCACTGTGCAGTGGCCCTTCCCAGAAGCTTGTCATCCCTTAGCCCCTTCTGTGGACAGTGGGAGCCACCAGCCCTCCCCTCCCCCTACTTCCTTACACCTCCCCTCCTCCACCAATAACAGCATCATTCAGTGCCTGCCTACAGGCTTTTCCCCACATTTTCTTTTTGGGAGTGCCTGCCCCAGCCCTCTCCCCAACACTTGCTGAAATCCCACCTTGAAAGCCTGTTCATGCTGCCCCCTCCTCCAGGCAGCCACCAGAGTTGAGCTCTCCCCCCTCTGGAGTCCCACAGCAGTGGCTACACTGGTCAGATGCACTTCATATAAATTATGTGCTGCTCCTCTGTCCCCCAAACTGGGGCTCCCCAGTACAGGTCCAGGTCTCCTCCATTTACCCCTACAATGCTCCCAGCATAGGCCTAAGCACAGACTTAGGGGCCCAGAAACAAGGGAGGGAACACAAGGTTGCTATGACAACAACCCCTGAACCCCCACAGAGTGAAAGGAGGGTAGACGGTATGCTGGAGACCAACAGGTGAAACACTTGCTTGTGTCCAAAGCGCCGTTTCCTCTCACCCAGCTCGCGGGCCCTCCCCTCACCCAGCTCCATTTCTGCGGTGAGGAAGGACAGGTGGCAGAGAGCAGGCTTGTCAGGGAGCTCGCCTTCTCTGCTCAGCTATTTCCATAAACCAATTATCGCCCATCATCTCGGGAGATTGAGGCC